GTGTGTCTTTAACTGGCGGAGTATAATGCTATAGTTAAATGGTAGTTATAGAGGAGGTGTTAGGTTTATTTCTTTATTAATATGTTATGTATGAATTAACACACACACACACACACACACACACACAAAGGGTTTCGACGCACCTATGTATATGTATGAACGCTACATACTGTATACATATCCTAGTCCTTTATACAACTAATTACGTGTATGTATGTATAGTTATATACTGTTTATAGAAGTAGACAACATATATTTCTCTACATCTACCTGTATATCTACTCATACATATCTAAGGACAGGCGAACCACCAGAGAAAACCTTAAGTTAATAACAATAACATCAACAACAGCACAAGTCCAACTCACAAAGGCTCAGAAAATCAAACGCTCATAAGGTCAATTTTCCTTGTAAAAAGAGATGTGAGAAACGACCTAACTGCTTCCCTCAAACTTAAAAACATGAAAATTAACGTCGAAAAATGGTGGAAATATTGACATAAAGTACTTACAAATACTAATTATCAATACCCTAACTATATACATTAACTATATACACTATCTAAATACACCTCCTAGATACATTAACTAGATACATTAACTAGATACATTACCTTAATACGTTCATACCACAACGGGCAAAAGCCAATACATTCCACCCAACAATATTATACCTATACTGTTATCATCTCTCAAAGGCAAGATAACAAAGATAACAATAAAAAAAAAATAAAACTACATTTCAATTAAATTCCCCTTGACCACACTGCAGCCTCAGGATAGAGTATATTACAGGACTCGGTACATGAATGTCTTATCTAGAAAATACTTAATTGGTTTTGTCTGTAATACTTCAGGTGTGTCTAGGTAGTAGGTCAGAATTTTTTCATAATTAAACGAAGAAAGATTATTATCAGTTGTTGTTTTGTTGTTGGTGGTGGTGGTACTTGTTATTGTTTTTATTATTTTTGTTGATATTTTTGCTGGTATAATTGTCTTTGTTATGTTGTTAATGATGTTGTTATTATTGTTGTTATTTTGGTGGAATAATTATCTTTGTTGTTAATGTTGTTGTTGTTGTATTGTTGTTGTTATTGTTATAATTGTCTTTGACTTCTTGTTGTTTTTGTTACAATAAATTTATCGCTCTTCACCCCTCCACTACACAACTCCTTCATGTATCCCTCCAGTAATTCCCTCCCATCAAAATACTCTCTCTCTCTCTCTCTCTCTCTCTCTCTCTCTCTCTCTCTCTCTCTCTCTCTCTCTCTCTCTCTCTCTCTCTCCTTCTTTCCCAATCTGGTTAACATATCCCTTATTACTCCCTCCTTCTTGCCTAGCCACTATCCCCCCCTTCTAGCCTTGCTTCAATCCCTCTCCCTCTTCTTGCCTTGTCACTATCCCTCCCTCCCATCCCACTCTCCTTTCTCGTATCCCTCCCTCCATATCACCTAGCCACAATCCCTCCCTAGCATCCCACCCTCTTTTCTCTCCTATCCACTAACCCTCTCCCTCTTGTTGCCTAGCCACTATCCCTCCCTCCCATGAGACATCAGGAAGTCTGCGGCCTGAGGAGGGTGTCGTGGGCTATAAGAGAGGTCCTACAGGATAATGACTTACTCCTCCAGGATCATGTCAGGAGAAAAATACGTAAAAAAAATAAAAGAAACAAAAGTCCATAAAACAAAACATGGCCCAGCCCCCCCCGTCAGCCCCTCAGGACATGACCATGGATAGAGGGAAATTGAAGAGGATGGAAACTCCCCTGAATCTGGAATAGTTTGTCCATCACTTTACCTGAGTGAATGAAGAACGAAAAAATAAAAATGAAAAGAAGAAACAATAGAAAGGAAAGGAGGAGAGGAGAAAGAGAAAGAGGAGAAACAGAAAGAAGAGGGAGGGAGGAGGAGGAGGAGAAGGAGAAACAAGAGGAGGAAAACAATAATAATTAAAGTGTTGTAAGCTTCGACTATGTACACACACACACACACACGTATATTTCCCCAGTATGTGAGTGTGTATTCTCTCGGTAAGTATATATATGTGTATGCACGTATCATCAGATTAATTATCCGTGTATGTATTCTTAGAGTCTGTGTGTCTGTCTGTATGTATGTATGTATGTATGTATGTATGTATGTATGTATGTATGTATGTATGTATGTATGTATGTATGTATGTATGTATGACCTACACCACAGAATATAGCTCTCAATACCCGGACACTTACAACACCTTTTGGGGCCGCGAGTTCAGACGAGCTGCTGAACTGTGAGGGATGGAAGGGAGGGAGAGAGGTGGTGAGTGGCGGTTGGTAGGGAGGCAGGGAGGCAGAAAAAAGGAGACAGGAAAAGACGGAATAATTGGTGGCGGTTGGTAGGGAGGCAGGGAGGCAGAAAGGGAGAAAGGAAGGGAGAGAGGTAGAGGCGAGGAGGGAGGAAGGGAAGGAGGGTGACGGCTGGTAGAGAGGTGAAGTGGCAGGGGAGGAGGAAGGGAGGAGGGAGATGGTGACGGCTGGTAGAGAGGTAGGGAGGAAGGAAGGAAGGAAGGGAGAGCAGGAGTGACGGCTGGTTCTATCCAATACGACACTTAATTTTTTCGTATTTTCACATGAGTTCTCTCACCCTGGACAATATTCAAAGACAATGTTACAAGTCACACACGCGAGACGAAATTGTTGACCCGTTAATCAATGCACCAAATAACTGCTGGGCTGAGTGAATTATTAATTTATTCATTGTGTGGAATTATTGGAACGAGTGTGATCTATTGTCTGTAAAGAAGAAACTCGGAATTTCGATCTAGAATCAAAGGAATTTATCTATCAAGGTGGGGGGGTGTAGGAGGGTGGGGTGTGGTCAGGAGGTCCAAGTGGTCAGGGAGGGTCAGGGTGATCAGGAGAGAGGTCAGGGGTGGTGTCAGGGGTGGTCAGGAGGATCAGGGGGTGGTCAGAGGGTCAGGGGTGGTCAGAGGGGGTCAGGATAATCAGGATGGTCAGGGGGTCAAGGGATGGTCAGGGGTGAGTCAAGGAGGGTCAGGAATTGGTCAAGGAAGGGTCAGGGGTGAGTCAGGAGGTCAGGGTGGTCAGAGGGGTCAGGACAGTCAGAATTGAGTCAAGGAGGTCAGGGTGGTCAGAGGGTGTCAGAAGTCCAGGATGGTCAGGGTGGTCAAGGAGGGGGTCAGGGGGGTCAGGGGGTGGTCAGGGGGGTTGTATGTGTACATTTTGGTTCTATGTGAAAGAAATTTGATTTATTCTATGATGGAATTTATTCATTGGTCTTTAACTAACACCAACTAGTTCATTGGTTAAGGGAATACATCCATTAAGTCTCACCAAACTAAAGATAATATATTTACCTAGGTAATACATACGTTAATCCTACCTGAAATACCGTGCAAATATATTCAATGGGGAAAATTATATCAATTTTCTAACACTTAAATTAAAATAAACTTATAATCCTATCTAAATTTATTCCAATAAATCCCCATCAGTGTTAATTATTCGACCATTTTCACTCAGTAACACAATCACAGGCACTGGGAACCACATAGTACTGCAATAAGGCTTAATATCGAGGGAGACACGACAGTACATCACAAGCTAAACACAGCACACCTGGTCAGTGGCGTATGATAATGGAATATACCTGTTGTATAATTATCTCGAGGTCAAAGGTCATCACAGAACCGTATATACCTTTTCAAAGCCTGGGGAATTCTCTACCAAAACCAAATGAACTCTGTAGCAAAACCGAGTATCTATGTATCAAAAACTAGAAGGCGTTCTGTAGCAACATCTAGACAGCTATATATCAAAACCTAAACAAACTGCAGCAAAACCCACAGAACTACATAACAAAAACCTCTGTAACCAATCCTGTAGAGCTCTGTAGCCAGCCGTCTCTCACAGCCAAGACCATAACAGGATCAGGTTTCCAGATCAGGGCATCATTTCCCTATGATTTTTTTTTCACTGGCTTCTCTACTACAAAGGTTTGTGCTGGTGTGCCATTACAACCTCTATTCGGTTCACCATATTGACCTTACTTTGGTCAATATTTTCTTTACTTTTGGTCAATATTTTCCTTACTTTTGATCAATATTTTCCTTACTTTTGATCAACATTTCCCATACTTTTGATCAACATTTCCCTCACTTTTGATCAACATTTCCCTTACTTTTGATCAATATTTCCCTCACTTTTGATCAACATTTCCCATACTTTTGGCCAATACTAAAGCTCAAGAAACACACACATTAGGACCTGTTCGTAGCCATCTGTCAAGTTTCCCAGGATATAAACATAAGACAACTCCCTGAAAAGTACAGAGACGTAGACTAAATCTTCCTATAAATATAAACAGTTATATAATTTGCATTCTCTCTAATTAAAACTATTGTTGGTTTTTGTGCTAAATCTCATCCAGTTTAATTTAAATTCATGAAAGTTGTTGGCTAATTTTTTTTTTAACTTTTATGTTTTATATTAACAAAAGCAACAATTATGTCTGAAAGCGATATAGATGTTTAATTTATTGGTAAAAGTTGATTACCGCCAGATTTCCAATTGGTCCGTTTATAAAGTCGATTTATGGTTAATATTTCTCTTGACAGGAAAAAAAGAATTATTGCTAAAACAATATATTTTACATAAAATTTGATATAAATAGAAAATACTAAGAACCGTTTCACTGTTGGCTAGTAAAAACGAGTCAGTTACTGGTATTAATATTATCATACAGGTGTTAAAGCATCTGTCACTCAGTTGATTTTCATAATAGGTGAAGCATTATTAAAATCATTAGTAATCAAGGCAGAGTAAATGATCTTTATACCTATATCACACTTGAATAAATAGGCAGGGTGGGTCGAGAAAAAGTCTTAAAATTTACACTAGCAGCAGTAGGTGAAGTTATATCAAGTAGCAGTTTTACGATACCTGAAAGAGAAGCAAGAGTAACCTGTAGACTGTATTGGAGGTGATGAAGACTTTTTTACTTACCCTAGAAAGATGCTGTCATGAGAGTGAGAGTGGAAGGCTGGGATCCTCAGCTTGGGCAGCACGATGGTCTTCCCCTTGCGGGTCCTCACAGTGAAGGTCGACGAGAAGTGCAGCTCCGGAGTTGGGTTGTGGGGCGACAGGATCGTCAAACCCCGACTCTCCGGATGCCCGAGTAAGGGCGTCAGGCCCCCACCACTACTGCCTGACGAAGGGACTCCCAGGTCGTGGAAGGAAGGGACTTTTAGCTCCATGGAGGCGATGATAGAGTTGCGGTCCGGCGTGCGTGTGATCATCCTGGTTTTGTTCCTGGGACTGTCAGGGCAGCGGTAGGAGGTTCCCACGAGCTTCGAGGATTCGGTGTACCTGTAGTTAGAGCTTTCAGAGACACTGTACGCCGACTTCTCAGGAATACTGCCAATCCCGTGCCCGGCATTCCTGTGCATGGATGTAGATCCATCGTGGACTTTAAACTTGAAATTTTCTTGGTACTTGATCTTCTCCTGCCCAACAGTCTTGAACCTGGGACTCTCGGGGGCTCGATCTCTGTACACGGCGCCTTCCGGCTCGGTGAACTTGACACTGTGCTTTGGACTTGATGAAGAGGAGATCGAACTACTTGAATGGTGCCTCCCTTTGCCCAAGATGCTGACGGGCTCAGTCGTAAGGGAGGCCGAACTCTGGTAACTGCTGGAGGTGCTCACCATAGTGTGTGTCTGGAGGGTCTCCCCGTAGGTCGAGGTGGTGACGAGGCCACGACCCCGAGACAGCATCTCGCCGAGTTTTGGACATAATAAGGGAAGGGAGGCGGCGCCCTCGTCTGTGTGTTCACCAGGGGTCGCCATGGTGAGAGCACCACCGCGTGAACAGCCCTAACCGGCCGCTGCTACCCAGCAAGACTCCCTCACCAAAATTAACAATATTCACTGATTAACAATATCCTATAGTTAACATCTTACAGTTAACAACACCTTATAGTTCACTATATCAGACACTGATTCGCACCAATAGATTTCAGAGTAACTTTTTTGTCGTCACTATCTTGTACATCAATTTGAATATAATATATATACGCGTATTAGATTTTGAACTTATAATTACTTAATATTTCTACTGATATATAACTAATAGTCACTTGAGTTATCCTGGAAAATAAGAAATATTCCCATTATTATATTCAGTGTGTTGGACAAGCGGTTATACGAGTCGTCATCTTTAAGAAGGAAAAATCTTTGTCTCGGGTCACTCATGCAAGATATTCCGGTTATCTGTATGTGAGGGGATAATCGTTATCATTAAGTCATTCCAACGAGAGTATTAGAATCGGGTTATCTTAGACTTAGAAAAAATACGTCACAAGTTATCTTAGGTGAAGTAAATGATAAGTATCAAACTACTCATCACAAGTTTTTAAAATCAGGTTATCAAATAAAAAATAATCACATAATCACCACTAAAATAACAATCAGGCTATCACAATAAGAGATAAAAATATCATTGCCAATAAAAATCAGATTATACACCGATCAGGTTATCAAAAGCTATCCAACTCATCACCAATAGAATAATCAAGTTATCCAGGGGTTATCTCACACACACACACACACACACACACACACACACACACACACACACACACACACACACACACACACACACACACACCAGTTATCGTAAAAACCATATCGTTTAGAAGCCCATACGTTGCACCACTAACACATCAACGCCCAGAAATAATTCCCGCAGAGTCAACATCAATATGAGATTCCCCGACCAGCACCCCTTTTTTATTCCCCGGTTGAATGTTTACGTGGTGTTGGGCGACTGTGGTGATTGTACTCTGCCCCAGTGTCAATATTCTCACGGGGAGGAGTAGAGAAGGCATATAGGGGAGAGTGAAGACAGGGTGACAGGGGAGATGGGTGTCTGTGAGAGAGAGAGATGTGAGTGGAGTGTTACCGAGGCAGTAGGAAACATGACCATCGCTCACACCTACTCCTCAAGGGCATATAGCTACATCAACCTTGGTCTGTGTTATATAAGGGAGATAAATATATACCAAGCCAAGCCAGTATCGATCCCAGGACAAAGTAGTGAGTGACGCTCTTAAGATGCAAAACGTCTCTATTAGATGCAAGTCCTCGTTTTGGTTCAAGACTGCTGAGCTAAACGGAAGACGGTCACAATACGGTTAATGATAAAGTGTAACTCACGATACTCTCACAATACGGTTCAATACTCTACCGTAACTCACGATACTCTCACAATATGGTTCAATACTCTACCGTAACTCACGATACTCTCACAATATGGTTCAATATCACCAATCATACATTACAGTACACGTTAATACTCTACTGTAACTCAATACGATACTCTCGTTAATATGGCCAATGTCCATCTTTAACTCAGCATAATGACCACATTTGCCAGTAACTCCCCGCATGATATTCTGCACATGGTTCAATACTCTCACCTTTAACTCACGATGCCTTCGGCCAACACGGTTCAATACTCACGAAACTGCCACGATACTCTCAATAATAATACGGTTCAATACTCTACCGTAACTCCACGATATCTTCAGCACAATACGGTCTTACTACCGTAACCTCATTAGATACCTCACACATGGCTACTGCCTCTACCTTAACTCACAACATGGTTCAATACGCTTCCGTAACTCAATAGATATTCTCGCCACCGATGGTTCAATACTTTACCGTAAATCACGATACCTCACAATGTCTAATATTCTACCGTAACCTCACGATACTCATACAATATGGTTCAATACTCACATCCGTAACTCATGATACCTCACAATAGGGTCTAATACACTCTACCGTAACCTCACGATACTCACAATACGGTTCAATACTCTACCGTAACCCAATACGATACTCCTTGGCCAACATGGTTCAATACTCAACAACTCACGATACTCTCGCAAGAACGCTTAATACTCATCGTAACTCACGATACTCTCACAATACGGTTCAATACTCTACCGTAACTCACGATACTCTCACAATATGGTTCAATACTCTACCGTAAACTCACGATACTCTCACAATACGGTTCAATACTCTACCGTAACTCACGATAGTCTCACAATACGACCAAAGATCTACCGCAAGTTACAATAAGCTATGAGACGATCTACATAAACTGCCTTCTGATGAGTTACTTGGTTGTGGTGTAGCGCTGCAGTGTATCTCAGGCGGACACCATTACCAGGAAACCAGCGGAGGGAGAGGGGGAGGGGAGAGGGAGAGAGGGAGAGGGGGAGAGGGGGAGAGGGGGAGAGAGGGGGAGAGGGAGAGAGAGAGCAAGTTTAGCCTCTAACAAGGTTTACATGAATTAGTATAGCGATGAGGCCCCCAACCGAGGAAGCCACTAATTTGGGAAAGGGCAATTAACTAGTTCAAGGTCTGTAACTGTAGGTGGTTTCCTATAGTGTGTGTGTGTGTGTGTGTGTGTGTGAAGGAACAATAATACTACCTTGAAGTCTTCAGAAATTATTTAATGTTTTTTTTGTGTGTTTTTAAAGTATGGACGTGCATACACTCGCATATAACGCATTATTGGGTGTGTTTATTTTATGTTACGGTTAAAAGATGGAGACAAGGGGCATAAAAACACACATGCATAATCTCTTTCATAATCCATTGATGTAATGAATTGCATCAGTAATTCTAAATATTATCATGCATTCAACATTGCAAGGATAAAATATCATTACTTGTGAAATTAAACACATTCACTCACTCACTCACTCACTCACTCACCCACTCACTCACTCACTCACTCACCCACCCACCCACCCTCTCTCTCACCCACCCACTCACTCATTACACCCACCACAGCCTCATTCACAAGGTAATAATTATATCAACGTGCAGGTACCGCTGGCCAATACAGGTCTTAAACCTCATTAGTGCCAGGTGTCAAGTGCCAGGTGTCAAGTGTCAGGTGTCAAGAGGTATCAACAACAGCGAATCACAACACCTAGACCTAGATGTTACGTCAACACTGTGTTTCTAGTGAGCTGTCTGCCAATGGTGTTTCAACGTTCTGTCAGGCTGTATCAACGCTTCCCTCAGATCCCCTTTATGTCAACGCATTGTCAACGCTCTCTTAATACACTGTCAACGCACTGTCAACATTATCTAATACACTGTCAAAGCACTGTCAACGCATCTTTCATATCATCTAAGCTCAGTCAACGCACTGTCAACGCCTATTATATAATCCTCTATCAAAGAACCACCCCACATATTTTTCAACACTATCACCACCCATCATCACCCCATCCACACACACACCATTCTTCACCATTCACTGCACCATATCTCATCACCACTACCACCACATCTCTATCAATACACTAACAATTCATTCCCCATCACCATCACCACCATTCTTTCAACATATTCACACACCTTCATCTATCACGCACCACACCACTTTATCACCCACACCACCACACCATTCATCATTCAGACTAACACTCATTCTTTCAATATTAGACACAACACACCACATTTCTCCCATCACCACACTACCACCATTCTATCACCACACTACCACCATTCTATCACCACTATCACCACATCATCACCACACTACCACCACCATACACAGCTCAAGCAGCCCTCGGCCACTGGGTCACTGTCACACACACAAGTTTGGATGATGTTCTTAAAAGGTCATACAATTTTTTTTTCGTGTTTGTTGACATTCTCTCTCATCTTACCTCTGCTTACTATACTGTTTGTCTCTTGGTCTCTTATTGTTGTCGACTACTATTTAAAGTTATTGGTTAAGACCCACGGGATTACCTGAAGAATAGACCCCAAGGTATGTTTCACCTGATGATTAATTAAACACCTTTAACGTTACCTGGACCTTCGTTGAATAATAACAACAACAATAATAACAACAACAATAATAATAATAATAATAATAATAATAATAATAATAATAATAATAATAATAAACGGGGCGCTTCTCACGACACACTGTTTGAACTCATAGTAAATTGGTGAGACGTGAACATATATACAGGTGTAGGCGAATGTTGTAAATGAAGCTGCGTGGTGGAGCGGCTGGGACAAGAGGCCATATATGGGTGTCAAGAGGCGGTGTGTGTGTGTGTGTGTGTGTGTGTTGTTCCAGGTGTCTGAGGAGGTGTTGTTTTGGTGGATGCCAGGTAGAGTCGAGGGATGATTGACAAAGAGACCATATCCAGTTTTCTGTAATGGATGTAATTGAATTAAATGTGGAAGATGATCAAGTTTAAGAAGCCAAAAGAGGAATACAGTGAAACCCTCATATAACGGACATCGATTTAACGGAATATCCTCTCATTTATAGTCCGTTAGAAGGAAGTTTCATATATAACGAACTACCCTCTCTCATATACTCCGTTAGAAGGAAGTTTCATATATAACGGACTTGGATTTAACGGACTAACCTCCCACATATAGTCCGTTAAATAAAGATTTCACTGTACGAGGAAAAAAGACAGCAAGAAATACCACAAATAAAGCAAAAATATAAAAAGAAAGAAGTATTGCAGAAGATTTTGGATGAGGATAAGGAAAGGCTAGTGGACTATAGAATGGATAGGAGGAGGAGGAGGAGAGAGAATAGGTCAGTATGAATGTGATGGTAGGATCATACTAAGGAGGGATGAACGCTGGTGATGGATAGTTCGGGAGATGTTGGAAGTTTAGACAATATATTCCAGTAAGCTGCTGAATCACGAAGACCGCCAAGAATTGTAATGAGCGAGGTCGGTATATTCAGATTAATATACAACAGAAAACGGGTGAAGATGGTGATTGAGGGAGGGGGTACTTATGAGAATATCGAAAGGTGGTGATGATGATGATGATGATGATGATGATGATGATGATGATGATGATGATGATGATGGTGAGAAGAACAAGATTGGTAAATAAATGGATGGAAAAACGGAAGAATGACTGGAGGATGGAAGACAGGGTTGATAGTACCAGTTTATGAAGGCAAAATGGATGAGGTAGGGGATTCATCATTTATATCGAGGTAACACAAGTTAAATGAGGTGTTGATGGCCTGAGAGAGAGAGAGAGAGAGAGAGAGAGAGAGAGAGAGA